CTTGTATAGCTCGGTAGGCTTTGTAATAGATAGGGTCTGAATGTATATATGAGATGAAGTTTTTAAATGAAACTGTCTGATTTGTCTTTCAATTCCCTGTTAACGGCAAACTCTAGTGACCGAAAAGGACCACCGACCTCCCGGGCCGAGTACCAAATAGACCCACCAAGGCCGCGTGCCGACTTCTCGGGCCAAACATCCATCGCCTTTCAAGCTAACAACTAAGTTGTCAGGGGCACCCCACCATCAAACCATCAGGGTGATTTAACAATCGAATTCTAATGCCCGGAGTGAAGCGCCAACCTCCTGGGCCGAACGCGAAACCTCTAGGCCTTGAGTTACGCCGACCTCCCGGGTCGAACGTCCAATCTGATTTACTGAAACAGCGTGCCGGCCTCTTGGGCCGAGCATCCGCCCATCCGTAAGCCGACAACCGATTTGCCAAAGGACGACAAACTGAGGTCCCATCAGACGACCACACTAAACCAACGACCAAATCCCCGCTGCCTGGGCGGAGTGCCGACCTCCCGGGTCGAGCACCGGACCTTAAGGCTCAAAAGTGCCGACCTCCTGGGTCGAGCACCGGACCTTAAGGCTCTTTTGAACCGCGCCGACCTCCTGGGTCGAGCATCTATTCAAACTCCAAAGGCCTTCCCTTAGTTCATCATCTGGATTGGTCCTGAGACCGCCGACCTCCCGGGTCGAGCGAAAGAATTTGAAAGACAATCGTGCCGACCTCCTGGGTCGAGCATCGAATTCGAAGGTAATCAAGCAAGCCTCCGGGGTCAAGCGTAAGAATTTGAAGACAATCGTGCCGACCTCCTGGGTCGAGCATCGAACTCGAAGGTAATCATGCCGACCTCCAGGGTCGAACGTCGATCTCCGAGACTTGAAAGGCCTCCCTTCCATTACCTTTCATTTCATTACCCTCCATCACCCCTCAGAGCCCCCCACTAGAACACTTAGCAGAATCTGAGCGTGCTAGTGTAGAAGTGAAAAGTTAAACGGCATTGACAATGAGAGGGGATTTAAAACAAGAAAACTGAGCATTTATTGAATAATGAAATGGTACTAAAATTCCAAAGAATACAGTAAGATACCCTGAACCAACCTATCCTATGAACAACCGCAAATTCGAGAAGTGCCAAGTGTGGGGTACCTCTACTCCGTTTAATCTCGCAAGCTTACAGTACCCGGCCCGGCTTGTATCTAAGATCGTGTACGGCCCTTCCCAGTTTGGATCTAGCTTGTTGGACCTTTGAACTCGGCTGACTGAGTTCTTTCTCAGGACGAGGTCTCCAGACTTGTACTGCGTATTCCGTACCCTCGCATTGTGGTAACGGGCGAGCTGGCTTTTATACTTAGCCATTCGTATCGCCGCTTCCTCCCGCTTGGCCTCCAGCAGGTCCAAGTTGCACCTCAGCTCCTCCTCGTTGGCTGTCACAACGAAGTTCTGTGTTCGAGGCGAGGGGAAGCTGACCTCCGCGGGCACCACCGCCTCCGCCCCATAAGTCAGGGAAAACGGGATCTCGTGGGTGGCCGTCCTCGGCGTGGTGTGGTAAGCCCAGAGGACGCTAGGTAGTTCGTCTAGCCAGTTAGACTGGACTAGCTCCAACCTGGTCTTCAACCCTTGCAGAATGGTTCGGTTAACATTCTCCACCTGACCGTTGGCCTGGGGGTGTCCGATCGAGGTGAAGTGCTGGTTAATCTCAAGCTCGGCGCACCAGCTTTTGAAGGGATTTTCAGCAAACTGTCGCCCGTTGTCGGATATCAAGGCGTGCGGGATCCCGAAGCGGCAGACTATATTTTTCCAGAAAAACTTCTGAATTGCCCTTCCGGAGATAGTGGCCAGGGGTTCGGCCTCCATCCATTTCGTGAAATAGTCGATGGCCACCACGAGGTGTTCGTACCTTCCCGGAGCTCGGGGGAAGGGACCCAGGAGGTCTATCCCCCACTGGGCAAAGGGCCAAGGACTGTGGATGGGGACCATCTCCCGGGTGGGTTGGTGGCGCAGCGGGGCGTGCACCTGACAGGCTCGGCATTTCTAAACAAGAGTTGCGGCATCCCGAAACACCGAGGGCCAGTAGTAGCCTAGGAGTAGGCATTTTTTGGCTAACACTCGGGACCCCACGTGTGCAGCACACAGGCCTTCGTGCACTTCTCGGAGGACATAGTCACCCTCCTCAGGGGTTACGCACTTTAGCCAGGGAGACAAATACGACCTCCGGTAGAGGGTGTCCCCAGCGTAGGCGTATTTAGCAGCTCGGAGCTGGAGTCGGCGAGCCTCGGTTTTGTCCTCGGGGAGGACACCCGAGCTGAGGAAGTCCACAAGAGGAGTCATCCAAGTGGCCGAACTGTCGATGGCCAAGACCCGGACCTGGTCAATACTTTTTTCCTTGACTACCTCCACCAAGACTTCCTTGCTCAGGTGGGCAAACGAGGAGGACGCCAGATTCGACAGGGCGTCCGCCCGCTTGTTCTGTGATCTCGGCACCCGCTCGATCTCAAAGAGTTCGAACAGCTTTATCGCCTCCTGCATCTTAGCCAAATATTTCTTCATGACATCCTCCTTGGCCTCGTACTCCCCGCGGACTTGGTAGACTACGAGTTGAGAATCGCTCCGGACTCTTATCGCGGTTATACCCATCTGGTGGGCTATCCGCAATCTCGTCAATAGCGCCTTGTACTCGACCTCATTGTTGGATGCCGGAAAGTCAAACCTGAGAGCGTAAATCAGCTCCTCCCCCGTGGGCGAGGAGAGTAGCAAGCCAGCTCCACTCCCTTCCTTACTTGAGGCCCCGTCTACGAACAGTACCCACGGCTCCCCCGACCGGGCCTCCTCGGGCACAGAGCAGGGTTCGGTGACGGATAGACTGGCTCCCTCGGCGAGGAAGTCTGCCAGGGCCTGAGCTTTGATTGCGGTACGAGGCTGGTAGCCGATGTCTTGCTCGGCTAGTTCAACGGCCCATTTGGTCATCCTGCCCGAGACCTCGGGTTTTGTAAGTATCTGCCGTAAGGGTTGATCCGTCAGGACGGTAATGCTGTGGCCTGGAAGTAGGGTCGGAGCTTCCGGGCGGCGTGCACCAAGGCGAGGACCAATTTTTCCGCCGGCGTGTACCGCGTCTCCGGCCCTTGTAAAGCTCGGCTAACGTAGTATACTAGTCGTTGAGCCCCCTTGTCCTCCCACACCAAAACCGTGGTAACAGCCTCGTTGCAGGCGGACAAGTATAGGAACAGGGTCTCTCCCTGCTCCGGGGCAGTCAGAGCAGGCAGCTCAGTCAAATATGCCTTTAGGTCGGTAAAGGCTGTCTGGCATTCTTCCGTCCATTGGAAGTCCTTCGGTGCTTTCAGGATTCGAAAGAAGGGCAGCCCCCTCACCGCGGAGCGCGAGAGAAATCTATTCAGGGCGGCCATCCTTCCCGCGAGCCGTTGGACCTCCTTGACGTTCCTCGGGAGGGCCATGTCCATGATGGCCTGGAGCTTATCCGGGTTGGCCCGGATCCCTTCTCGGGAGACCAGGAAGCCCAGGAACTTCCCCGACTTAACCCCGAAGGTACACTTCTTTGGGTTCAGCCGCATCCGGTTTTCCCGCAGAATGTTCAAGATTTCCCTCAGGTCGGGAACGAGCTACTGATTTGTTCGGCTCTTGACGATCATGTCGTCCACGTAGACCTCCATGCTTCTGCCAACCTGATTCTAGAACAGCTTGTTGACCAGACGTTGGTAGGTAGCTCCGACGTTCTTTAGCCCAAACGGCATGGTCCGGTAGCAGTAAGTTCCTTCCTCGGTGATGAAGGAAGTCTTTTCCCGATCCTCCTCAGCCATCTCTATCTGGTGGTATCCCTTGAAAGCATCCAGGAAATACAAAACGTCAAAACCAACAGTAGCATCTACTAACCTGTCGATCCTCGGCAAGGGGAAGCAGTCTTTCGGGCAGGCTTTATTGAGATCTGTAAAGTCAACGCACATCCTCCAGGACTGGTCCTCCTTCTTTACCAGGACGGGGTTGGCTAGCCAGGTCGGATAGTAGACCTCCATGATGATTTTGGATTCTAGCAGCTTACCGACCTCCTTCCTGATCACCTCATTTCTCTCTGGAGCGAAGTTCCTCTTCTTCTGCTTTACTGGCTTAAAGCGGGGGTCTATGTTGAGGTGGTGGACGGCCAGGTCAGTCGGAATCCCAGGCATGTCCTCTACTGTTCAAGCGAAAACTTGGGCGTACTCCCTTAGGAGAGCTTTCAAGCCGTCCTTCTCTTTGGGGGGTAGCGACGCACCGATGCTGATTGCCTGGTCTGGCCTGTCCTCTTTCAATGGGAACTCCTCGATCTCGTCCTGAGTGCTCAGCTGCCGATCCTCCTCCCCCGGGATGTAAGGCTCCAGGCTGGCCGTCTGGGCGACCACCTTCTCGTGTCCCCGGAGCATGGCCAAGTAGCAAGCTCGGACCACCTCTGCATCTCCATGCACCTCAGCTATTCCTCCCGGGGTGGGGAATTTCACGCTGAGGTGGAGAGACGAGGGGATAGCCCGAAGGTCATTCAAGGCGGGCCGTCCCAAGAACACGTTGTACGGGGATTGCTGTTTGACCACCACGAAGTTGACGGGAATGGTCCAGCATTTGGGCGCCTGCCCTACCGTGACCATCAAGGTGATCATCCCCTCCAGAGTGACGGGAGGTCCAGTGAAACCCACCAGAGGTGTCCGAACCGGGGTGAGCTGTCCATCCTCCAGGTCGAGCTCCTTGAACACCCGATAAAACAGGATGTCCACTGCGCTCCCCTGGTCAACGTACACTTTCTTTACCCGGTAGTTATTAGTCACGGTGTTTATCACAATGGCCTCATGGTTTCCCGACGCCAGGGGGACCGCGTCCCTCGGTCCGAAGGTGATCTCCTCGTCCATGCGCAGACGTTTCAGGGAGTCATCCCCCTCGGGAGGAGGTCGCCGATTCTTCCGGGCTGCTTAGCTGTCCCCCACTGTGGGGCCCCCAACGATGGTATTTATCACCCCGGCAAGGTTGTGGGTGTCCGGGTCGGGGTTGTCGGCCCGAGGGAAGTCGCGGCGCTCAGGGCAGTCGCGACGATGGGCCTCCCCCGGTCCCCGTGTCCTGGCTCCTGGCCCGGCCAACCTGGCCGCACGAACTGTCCCAGGAAACTCCGCTGAATCAGGTCTTCGATCTCCTTCCGCAGGGCCGAACATCCCTCCGTATCGTGCCCCACGTCACGGTGGAAGGCACAGTAGCGGTCTTGGTTCCTCTTGTTCCGAGGCGTCCCCATCTTAGGTGGTCGCCCTACCAGGCCCTCCGCCTCTATGACGGCCAGAACCTGGGCTCTGGGCCGAGTGAGAGGGGTGTAGCCTTTTTCTGGGAGTGGCGATTGAGCGGGGGCTTTATCCTTTGAGAGCCGGTCGAAAACAGTCCTCTTGGCCTGGCCATCCTTGTTCTCGGGAGGGTTTGCCCGTCCTTTCCGATCTCCGAGCTCCCGATCTGATTCTCTCTTTAAGCGACCAGCCTCCTCCGCGTTAGCGGCCGCGTGCGCCCTGGTCAAGAGTTCTTCTAGGTTAACGGGAGGCTTCTCGGCGAGTTTGTAGAAGAGCTCTTCCACCCTGAGCCAGTTTACGAAGGCGGCCATGACCACCTTTTCATCCTTGTCCCTGATCTGCAGGCTCTCTGTGTTGAAGCGGGTCATGAAACTCTTCAGGAACTCGTCCGGCTTCTGCTTGATTGCCAACAGGTGAGCCGCGTTTTTCGAGTAAGTCTTGGAGGAGACGAACTGGACGACGAACTGTCTGGCCAGCTCTGCGAAACTCCGGATAGACCCCGGTGCCAGGCTCTGGAACCAGAGCCGGGCCTTCCCCTTCAGAAACATGGGGAAGGTCTTGCAGCGGAGTGCATCCGCAGCGGTTTGCAGACGCATGTGCGTCAGGAAGACCAAGAGGTGGTCTTCCGAGTCCGTCGAACCGCCGTACAGCTCAATGTTCGGGATTTTAAACCTCCGAGATAACGGGTAGTCCTCTATTTTCCGAGTAAAGGGCGAGGCCGCGTAGCTGTCCTCGTACAGTTTCGGACGCAGGATATGCTCCAACTCGTCCCGGACAGGCTACCACTGGGGAGGGTCTCGTGGCCGGCTCTTGATGGATCGGGCGGGGGAACGCTCAGACTCGTTCCGCGTAGGCTTCCACGAGGAGGGATTCCTTGGCCGGCCCCCAGCGGACCCGTCACTGGAATACCTCTCGCTATCCCCGACCACCGAGACCAGCGGCCGAGGGGGGGTCCGCGGCCTCTTCCTCTTGGAGGGCTGGTCCCGTGACTCGTCCTCTGAGGGAACGGGGGGCGATTCCCTCTCCTTCCCCTTCGCCTTTGAGGTCTGCGCGCCGCCAGCCTCGCCTCCCTCCTTTGCCTGTCGAATGATGTGCTCCAACATGGGGAGGTTCTCCGTCACGAACTGGAAGATCTGCTGTCTCCGTTCCCCGGAAAGGGCTGAGCCCCCGGCGCCCCAGGGTGCTTCGGTCTCCATTCGCCGGGACCCCTCACCGGCTCCGGGATCAGTGTTGTCCACGGTTCGCTTGGAACGCGTTCTCGCCATCAACGCAAATACTCGTACTTTCGTTCCCACAGACGGCACCAACTGAAGAAGCATGGAACTTCCTCTGACCGAGCTGACCTGATGAGCTCGATTCGCTGACTGGGAGAGCGCGTCCTAAGCCTGAAAGACAGACAGGAGAGTGAAATAACAGGGGCCCCGAGGTCGTCCCCGCAGGCACTCCGACGGTCAAGTTAGTTTTCCGGTGAGTGAGATTTACGGAAAGTAAAACGGTCGAGAGTAATTGTCCAGAAATCAATGAGCGTACCTTGCGCAGTCATTATGCGTTACTATTTATACCTTCTTAGGAGTCCGACCTCCGTACGTTTCGGGGCTTGCCCAGAATAGCCCCCAATCCCGCACTGAGGGGGGTCAATCCCGACCTATGCGGGATTGCTCTCTTGGAATCCCTCGGAGCCCTAGCGGCGGAGGGCCGTGGGATATTTCTCATGGGCCCTGGGTCTAAACCCAGCTCGGAGCTCCCTGGGCTGCCACGTGTACAGGCCCAGGACGGGGCCTCTTCACGAACAAACACACTTAGTGGATCACGGTTGAATTTGTTCGACTGCCCGGTCCAATCAGATCCTAAAAACAGTGGATCCACTTATTGCTAGGGAAGCAGGCCTCTAGCATATTTTAACCGTGGAGTTAATCATTATTAGAAATGTAGTATAAACCGGGAAGATGGTTTGAAAGTGTGGTCGTCCTCCATGTGAGTTTCACGTGTGCATCTTGTTGCTGTTTTATTTCCCTTTTTTTGGGATAATTTCTGAAACCTCCCCTGAGGTTTCTGACACTTTCACTAGCACCCCCTGAGGTCCTCAAAATTTCACTGACCTCCCTTGCTTTTGAGTTTTTGGTAATAATGCAGCCCAAATCTGATTACAATATTATTTTCATGTGTGAGAAGGTATTTTTATTCCATGGCTGCCCCTTTGCTCCTTGTATTAGTAGACGATTGAAAGAAGAATAAATTATTAGAATGATTACTAAAGTTGAGAGGGTGTAAGTACAATACAAAAAATTGTAAGCACTAGATGTGCCGGAAAAAATGCCGGTTTTCATAAATCTTAAATCAACCAGTAGGTTATCTATTTAACATAAATTAAGTAACTAATTAAACTAATTAAATTACCTGCGAGTATTACTTTCACATAATTAATTTATGTTAAATACAAAACTTACCAGTTTCCCTTTCGTAAAAATATGAGTGTAATACTTTTTGAATTTTACTTACAACCATTTGTATATTTAATATAAATTAAGTGATTTAGAGTAAAATGCTCATAAATAGTTATTACTTTGTTCGTGTAATAGAGGAAACCCATAAAGAGCTGATATGTTATGGGCAATTACTTTTTATTTTCATCTTTCACGTATTTAATTTATGTTAAATAGAAAACCTACTTGTTTTCCTTTCGTAAAAATATTAGTGTATCACTTTTTAAATTTTACTTATAAACATTTATGTATTTAACATAAATTATATAAAAGTGTAAAATGCCTATAAATAGCTAGCACTTTATTCATATAATAGAAGAAACCCGTAAAGAGCTAGTAAAAAGTGGGTAATTTCTTTTTTTACTTTCACGTATTTAATTTATATTAAATACAAAACCTACTAATTTCCCATTCGTAATAATATTAGTGTAACAATTTTTGAATTTTACTTATAAACATTTATGTATTTAATATAAATTAAATGATGCAAATTAAATTGCTCATAAATAGCTAATACGTTATCCATATAATGGAAGAAACTTGTAAGGAACTGGTATGTTATGGAATTTTTTTTTTACTTTCAAATACGTCATTTATATTAAATACAAAACATGCTACTTTTCCTTTCGTAAAAATATTTGTGTAACGGCTTTTGAATTTTATTTGCAAATATTAATGTATTTAACATAAATTAAATGATTCAGAATAAAATGCCCATAAAACCTGGTACTTGGTTCATGTTGAGTCATTGTTCTGAGAATGAAGACACTGAAGAAATCTATCATGAATTTCAGCCCTAGTGCTCCACGGCATTGAGAAAACAAGAACTAATGAACAAAGAAAAATGCATGAAAGTTTGGTGCTTGAAGTAGTCTCCATTATTGGCAAGGTTCTTATGGTTTAACTTCAAGAATTGATGCACTACAATATCGTAAGTGCATGGCTATTTATACTTACAAATTTGATGGTAGTTTATACTCCTGCTACAGCATTGACAGTTTTCTATACGTTTCTTTGTTGTAAGGATTGCAGACAGAAAAAAGAAAAAGTCAAGCAATCTAGCGACGAAGCTAGATTGACCTATCATACCTAAACTCAATTTGAACCAGCGACGAAGCTAGGATCCTGTGGGTCCTCGGAGGGGGATGACTGTCAATTATGGATTTGCTAATAGCGTCAATTTTATGCCTCTTGTGTTTGAATTATTGCATTGGATTTATAATGAATATCATATTTATGTTCTAAATGAATCTATGTAGATTTCTTACATAGCGGAGAAAATTTTATAAATTTAAAGAAAGAATTATAAATCAAAAGGTGAACTTTGTTAGTTTTAAAGGGGTGAGAGTCAAGAAATTTTGGAAAATTGTGTGGACAGAGGGGCAAATAGGTCCTTTTTACAAGAATCCAAGTCGCAAAAAGTGAAAATAGTTGAAAACTTTAAACCTATTATAACATTTTTCTAAAACTTGATGATGGGGGTACCAATTGCCACTGATTTGACCTTTCCTAGTCTTTAGCGTATGAGTTTGGTATTAGACTATCAGGGAGTGGGAAAATTCATGGCCAAAAACCAGGAAAAAAATGTTGGATACAATGATGACAGAAAGAAAAACAAGGCATTCACACTGTGGTTATAATTATACCTGAGTGAAATTTGTGCCATGCGTATATACAAGAGGATTTGGATTTCTCATCATTGTTTTTTTTTTTTTGGAGCCACCATAGAATGGTTTTTTTTTCTTCTTTTTATTGTTTCCTCTTTGTGGGTGTCAAAACACATGCTAATTATTTTTGAGTCAAATTTGTGGAAAAACCAAATAAGTATCTCAATTTGTACCAAATTTCAGCAAATACTTGTCTTATGGGAGGAAATGGAAAGTACCAAACTCAAGAAACCAAGAAGCCGTCCCTACCATTGGAAATTGGGAGGTAGATGATCTAATTAATAAGCTTGGAATTTGAAGTTTCACGGTGTTAAAATTCTATTAGTTAATTAATTTGAATGATACTGGGAAAGGGTCAATTTCAAACCCCTCCCTCCGAATGAATTTTTCAGATTTTAACCTCAAAATTTAAGAGAATACTTGGAAGGGAAGCTTTCAAGGACAAGTATTGGGCACAAAAAAGAAAAAAAAAAAGACTCTAGATTACCTTTGAAATGTACGTATTCAAGTTTGCTAATGGAAATTTCAGGTTTTGCTCTTCTTATATCAATAGGTCCATGCATGCATGCACGCATGCATACAGTGGAAATACTCCATTACGCAGCCGTGACTTGATTGGCTGTCTTGGACGTCCACAGCGTCTCTTTTTTTTTTTTTTTTTTTTTTTGATTCATCATTTGCCAAGCACGTTTTAAATTTCGATCAAGATTTTGGTGCAGTTGTATAGTTATTATAAATTTTACACAATCTCATGTATACTATATTCTTTTGTACTGTGTCATATGCATGAATTTTATTCATGTACATCAATTCATTATACGAATACAATCACGTCTATAATTATGCATCAACTCTTAGAAAAAAATTGTATTGATTGTATCAAATACAATAACTGTACTGATTGTATCAAAATTCAATTTTACCTACCCAAATTCCGTATTTTTCGTGGTAAAAAAAAAATGCTAGGTAAGTTGCAACAAAAGGAAAGTTTCATATGTGTATTAAGCGCGTTTATTCGTTTTTATACATATTTGTATATGTTTAGTGGGAAAAAAAAACCATTTCTTTTCAAAGAAAAATAGATAGAGGGTGGAGTACAACTATGGGTCACCCATCAAGATTCAAATCTACATTGTTTTTCTAAGCAGGCATTCCATTTGAAAGCAAGGAAGAAACATTTCTGCAATTAGAGATAAGGTTTCATTGGAAAACTTTGTTAATGTCTCCTGTATTTTCAACATTGTGCTATGCAACCCATATATATAAGCAGGCATTCCATTTTGAAAGCTCCTGCTAACTCAAAGTGTGAGAACTCTATGTTGATCTTCATCAGATCTGTAAACTAGGGCAACAGAATAGATTGTAATCAAAAGTAACATGTTTCCTTGCAGTGATTAATGGAACCCTTGACTATAACTTTGTACTTGTGGGTCTTGCCCTGGTCTG